ATCTTATCGAATCGGCCAAATAATCATTCGGTCAATTTTTTACCAGATGTCCCAAAATTTATGAGAACAGCTGTAAATTTTATGCCATCTTATAACTTCCGGTATAATAATGCTTTATTTCATAAAATTGCAGTAAAAAGAACTCTGTCAATTTTCAATATCACATTATTTAAATTGTTGTCATAAAAACATTTTGGAATGGCGAAATATTTTAAACACCCTAAAATATTTTCCAAAAATATATTTTACATATTAAAATAATTTTTGTAATCTGTACGTATTATTTTTAACATTCTTTATAAATTATTTACAATTTAGACTAAAGTAATTTAGCAATTTAATTTACATAAAAAGCTAAATAATCTAAACACCCATTTATAGACGTATTCTTCCATTATTTATTGTAGCAGCTTATGCTGAAATTTGGGTCTCAATTGCAACTAAATTCTCATTTACTTTTTATCCTTTGAACTGTTTTCCGGGCAAATTTACCTAGAATTTCTAAATCATATAATACTGTAAATGTTTTTTTGTAATACGTTCGTACGTACGTATTTTAAACATGTGATAATCTGCCAAGCCAATCAAATTTATCAAAAACATACAACTATTTGCCGTCAACTTAGTACTGTAGTTGACTCGAGTCGTCGACTAATACAGTAATACTACACTTGTTAACAATGAATATGTATTTTTGAATATTTATACATATTTCATTAAGTATGATATTAATAGTCAATTTGTATTGACTACAAAAACTATGTTGCCATGTTACTTTTACTACTAACCCCAACATGAAAAAAGACAATACTAGCACTCACCCTACCCCTAACCACCAACTAATCCATTTGAAATTTTTGATCAATTCGGAACGTTGTGTGAAGACACGATTTATTCCTTTATTGCGTTAGTTGGGTCGGGATGGAGGGAGGTCCTTTCCATAACTAGACAAGAGAAAAAGACCAGAACAAATGTCTACTAATCTAATCAGGGATTTCTTCTTGTAACGAAAGTTTTTTTTTCTTCATGAATTACTAACAAAGGTGATGAGTCAATAATTATTGGGGGCTAACAAAGAAAGTAAACACGCAACTCATTGGGGAATAAATATGCAGGATGTATTTTTATGCGAATTAAGTATCTGATAGTTAAAAGACAATACAGACAAGATTAATAATAGCATATTCTATAGTGTATTGTTTTTGATAAAATAAATTAGCAAATATATAAACAAGAAAAGCTACACTTTTTCACTTAACTCACAAGCGATGAGTAAAGAAAATAAAAATGCAAAAAAACCGAAAGACATTAACTTTTCAACTAAAGCATTGCACAACTTAGATAAAAAAAGTGTCCAAATCGAGAAATGCGAAAAAGAACGAAAAGAATTTTCGAATCTGATGTCTTTACCAATTGATCTTCTAGATAAACTGCAAAAAAAAACCGAAAGACATTGACTTTTCAACTAAAGCATTTCACAGCTTAGATAAAAAAAGTGACCAAATCAAGAAATGCGAAAAAGAACGAAAAGAATTTTCGAATCTGATCTCTTTACCAATTGATCCTCTAGATCAACTGCAAAAAATACGCGAACGGCAACATGATTCAGTGTTAAACCCTTTAAAAAAATCACAGGCAATTGTTAGCAACTTATCGACAGGCAAAACTGAAAAGTTGATTGAGACAAGAAATAATTGTAGATTGATACAAAAACAAGAAACCCTTCAAATATCACAAAACAAAACTCCACTTTTGCCATTGAGACCTCCATCTTCCAAATTCTCTGGATTAAATTATTCATCAAAATCAACATCATCTGTCGAATCTAGCATCAAATACTTTGAAAAACTAGCTTCAAAAGTTATTCCTATTAATGAAGAGAAAGAAAAACCCATGCCATTATCAACCGTGCAACCTAAAATTGAAAGGAGAAAAGTATTTAGTCTTCCAAATGCACCGGATGTCTCGAGTTTTTTTGTTAATCACGATTATTCTGTCGCGTTTTTAAAAAAACCGTCATCATACGCAAAAAAATCAACAATTGACAAATCAAACATTGAATGCGCAACAGAATTTGAAGATAAAAAAATATTAAAAACAATGAATAAATCATTGTCACTTTCAAGTTTGCCTAAAAGCGAAACAATTCAACATTCAATTTCAAGTTTGTCTAAAAGCGAAACAGTTCAACGTTCTATTTCAAGTTTGCTTAAAAGCGAAACAGTTCAACATTCTATTTCAAGTTTGCCTAAAAGCGAAACAGTTCAACATTCTATTTCAAGTTTGCCTAAAAACGAAACAGTTCAACATTCTATTTCAAGTTTGCCTAAAAACGAAACAGTTCAACATTCTATTTCAAGTCTGCCTAAAAACGAAACAGTTCAACATTCTATTTCAAGT